ACATAGTTACTTTAAATCGTCTTGTGGTAATCTTTATAAATGCATAAATACCATAAAAATGCAATTTGCATTTGAGGAAATAAATTTTACTCTATTTGTATGTGCATTGAACAGTGCTACTCGCAGAGAACAGTAAAGAGACCAATGATTATGCGTGTGATTGACATAATCTAATATTTAATTATTTAGTATTTTTGAACCATATTTTGCATTAAAGGTGCGTAAGTCTAAATGTTTTACACATACATACTAAAATATATACTGTACCCAGAATATTCACTTGGAGAGAGTATTGTTGTAGATACTATTGTTATTCATATCTAAGTTTTTCATCGAGTGCATATTAAGAATTGATAATACGATTCAACTGCTACTGTCATATAATTTAAAATAAGTATAATATAGATTAACCTTGACTTAATAGGAATGATTATTGTGAGTAAACGAATTCGGTAGCTAAAAGTGTTAGAACACGTAGACATCGAATTAATTAACGCTATTCCAGTGTATGTAAATTTTTCTTAAACTCTTCAGGACAATTATTAGTACTACTTTTTTTCTTCTGGTTTCTTTCGAAGGTGAAGTTTGATTGCAATGTACATCCCGTAGTTGTAAAGTGTTGTCTGCGACATGGCAAAGCAAGCTGAGATTACGGCAATGCCGAAGAACATATAAAGGGCACCGACGATCAAATTCAGGTTTTCCTCAATAATATTTCCACTTGTTTCGCCTGGGACAAGATCACCAAATCCAATGGTGCTGACTGTGATAAAAGCAAAGTAAAAGCCATCAAAAAATGACCAGCCCTCTTCCATTTGGGAAAATATATAGGCGCCAATGCAATTATACGAAAAGAACACGAATATAACGACAGTAAGCGGGACTTCGGCATCTTTCACTTTAACTTTTTTGATTGGTTGTGATTCGTCCGTTTCCACGATATCACATCTGGTTTGAGTCCCTTTTGAGGCTACATCAGGTAGGGCGAAATCACCTGTCGAGACTCGTGACTCTGGCCTGTTCTTCATCACATTATAGCTGTCCGATTCTTCTTTGGAGCTAGAACCTTGGTTTACCTCAACGGAATAGACTCCTAAGTTCAATTTGCCGAACATCGGCTGGATCTTGGCTTTACGGACCTGGTTGACTTTAGCCAATAGGTATACGATGTATTTAGTTGGCAATGCTGCTAAGTATCCAAGATCAGATAGTACAAGTAGGAGTAGGGGTATTCCTACCAAGCCGTATAGAATCGTTGCGATTCTCCCCCATGTCGTCACCGGAGTAATGTGTCCATAACCTGCAGATATACAAAGTACGATATCATTTACCCATACTGTACGTGTTTAGATAGCCTAAATGGTCTTTGGCCTATTAACGCTAACATAAACATTTCGTTTTCCACTTCGCAATTGATTGACTTTATAAAAGATGTATTGCTGTCATTTTGTTATTTAATGTTAGTCACAACTGACTATACAATTATACAACTTAGTACCGGTCCGGTAACAAAAGCTCGCGACCCCCCAACCCCAACCCCGTCGCCTCCATTAAAAAATTCAGAAGCAAACAAAAATCACGCTCAAGTGGTTAAAATCACCTCATATCACTTTATTTTGCGATCTAGCGTCCCCTCACTTAATCATCGAGCACCATTTTACCTTCACACCCCTCTCCCCTCATCAGCCTCCATGTTAAGAATTTTAGATTCGCCATTGGTACCAAAACGCAGTAAGTTGACTAAATGTATGTATAGGCAGGTCCACAACTAGGCCTTCTAAAGAATGATGAGGGGTTCCTGAAATTCAACGGTCAATGGAACGTCCTTAGCATTGTAGCATGCAGATGGTGAAGTTGGTTATCTTTTGGTGGATTTCCCCGCGTTTTTTGTGCTTAGAGTTGTCCGAAAATAACGTCTGAGACGTTTTAGGCGAACAATTCTTTCTTTCTTTTTTTATTCTTTCTTTCTTTTCCTTTTTTTTTTTAACTTTCCAAAGGGGAAAAATGCACCCCTGAGATTATCAGATAATAATAATAATAATAATAATAATAATAATAATAATAATAATGATGATGATGATGATGATGATGATGATAATAATAATAATAATAAAGATTTATAAAGCGCACATCTCCACACCAATGGTGCTCAAGGCGCAGTGTCAATTACACCACAAAATTAAACAAAATCCATATTAATTCCCAGAAGAATTTCAAGCAAAATCTGTATACCAATTATTCCATCGAGGCAGTGTTGCTCCCCATATAAGTTAGCGCAGATACTCAAAGGCAGTATGTTGAGCATCAGCACCTTCCACCCCAGGATAAGCCCAGGGCTCCACTACCGTGCACTGCAAACGGAGCAACATTGCGTCGACAGAGAAAAGTGATATCATGTTTTTTTTTTGTTTTTTTTTTGTTTTTTTTTTGTTTTTTATAAATAATATAAATTAAACAGAGAAACATCAAGGTTGTTAGGCCTCGGTGAAGAGATGCAATTCTAAAGTTTTTTTAAACAAATTTAAAGATCTAATGTGTTTGACGGAGCAAGGCAAAGCGTTCCAAAGACGTGGAGCAGCAATACTAAAAGCTCGATCCCCGTAAGAGTGATATGACTTTGGTTGATGTAGAAATAGTTTGTCACAAGAGCGCGAGTTACGAACAGGAATATTACTCTAGTAGCCAGACCAGGTTTTGTATGCACTTTGAGTCCAGAGAATTTGACTTCAGAAATTGGTTTAGGGTGGTCCAAGAATCATTTTTGGCTTGGTAACACATTTTCAAAATGTGGCGAAAGGTCAAAAGGTCAGGGTCAAAGGTCATAGATATAGGGTCTTCATATCTCCGCAACTACTGGTGGTGGAGAGTTAATTTTGGAGCTTATTTGTTCAGAACATTCATGTTTCTATTTGCTCTAATAGAACATTTTGCTAAAAAAATGACAGGAAATGATATTTCTGACCTTTGACACGTTTCAAGGTCGTAGCAATAGGGTCATTATATCTCCGCAACCACTGGTGGTAAAGAGTTAATTGTGGTGTCAATTTGGTCGGAATACGCATGTTTCTATTTGCTCTAATAGAACATTTTACTAAAATACGACCGGAAGAGCCGTTTCTGACCTTTGACATGTTTGAAGGTCATAGCCACAGAATCCTCATATCGCCACAACCACTGGTTGTAGAGAGTTAATTTTGGTGCCAATTTGTTCGGAACATTCATGTTTCTCTTTGGAATAATAAAAAAAGTTTGCTAAAAAATTAAATGCTGTTCTGACCTTTGACATGTTTCAATGCATATGCATATCCCTACACATACTGGCTGGATAGAGACTTGATAGTGATTATTCATTTACACATGTCTCTGTTTATTGGATTGGACCATTTTTTTAAACAAATATGCCGATACTGATCATTGACCCATGTCACAAGGTTTAACTTTTTTTCTAATTTTGTCAGTAGACGATTTCACTTACAAAAAATAAATAAATAAATAAAATTAAGTCGGTCTAATTGGATGTATGATACAAAAGCGACCTGAAGTGCACCTCCAACTAAGAGTTCAGTGGATTTTTATCTCTGTAACTACTATCCCGCTAATATAGTATAATAATATAATCAATTAAAGCAAATAGGCATTTCATATCTGTAGAACAAATTGACACCATAACTAACTCTCTACCACCAGTGGTTTTGGAGATATGAAAATTCTATGGCTATGACCTTCAAACATGTCAAAGGTCAGAAATGGCTTTTCTGGTCGTATTTTAGTAAAATGTTCTATTAGAGCAAATACATGAGTATTCCGAACAAATTGGCACCAAAGTTAACTCTGTACCACCAGTGGTTGTGGAGATAATAAGGACTCAATAACTATGACATTTGAAACATGTCAAAGGTCAAAAACAGCATTTACGGTCATTTTATAGCAAACTTTTCTATTAGAGCAAATATAAATATTAATGTTCCGAACATATTGACACCACAATTAACTCTTTACCACCAGTGGTTGCGGAGATAGACCCTATTGCTATGACCTTGAAACATGTCAAAGGTTAGAAACAGCATTTCCGGTCATTTTTTAACAAAATGTTCCATTACAGCAAATAGAAACATGAATATTCAGAACAAATTAACTCTCTACCACCAGTAGTTGCAGAGATATGACGACCCTATAACTATAACCTTTGACCCAGACCTTTTGACCTTTCGCCACGTTTTGAAAATGTGTTACCAAGCCAAAAATTATTCTTGGACCATCCTAAACCAATTTCTGAAGTCAAATTCTCTGGACCTCAAAGTGCATACAAAACCTGGTCTGGCTACTAGGGTATATAAGGCCGAATCATGTCAGCAACATTGTCGGGAGCCAAACCATTTATACATTTAAAAACAATTAATAATATTTTAAAAACGATGCGGTGTTGTACCGGAAGATGGAGTTGTTGGAAAAGGACGGTTCAGTCTAACCATCCATAAACCCCCCCCCCCAATTCCTGTTTACAGGTATGAGGTGGTGTATTCCTGTAACGTACGACGAAGGGACGAACTTAAGGCTATCTTTAACACATCGACCTATTGTCGACATTAGAAATTTATGAAATTAATTATTGACGTTGCCTTGAGCTTGCTTCGATTTGTATATATAACTTATCGATTCGAATTGGTTACTAAGCTCAGTGTTTAATAAGCCGAGTACAAAGTGGACGAGCCTGATTGTTTTAATTTATGCTGCAGTAAACCTATATATATATATACGAAAAAATACACGTGTTTGTTTGATAATTATGGATTAACGTTGGTTTAACCTTACGTCATTTTTAAACAATTAAAGTAAATAACCATAATACACACGTTAATATATAATTCACGTATACTACTATTAATATAATTATAATTACTATAATATTAATAATAATAATAATAATAATAATGATAATAATAATAATTATTATTTTTATTTTAGTTTTCGTTATCTTTGTTACGATAATAATATCATCATTATTATATTATAAATATGAAACATAGTAATTTTAATTATAGAAAATGTTAGGCCTATTGTCCTTTTCTAGAAAACTATCTTAACTTAGTTGTAACTATCTCACTATTGTACATGTTAATGACTACAACATTCTTGGTGATCTGAACTGTGACTTTCTATCTCCAAATTGTAATAACCTTTGAGAAGTCATGCTTAATTATAACCTAACCCAACTTTTAAAAGAAGCAACAAGTGTAACAAAAACTCTTAATGACGTAATAATTACTTCTAATGTTGCACTTGAGAACTTTAGTTTTAACATGTCGTCTCAGCGACCATGATATTATTTTAACTGACCTTGATTTCAACTTTTAAAAAATGAACATTTTATTAAGAAATTTAGAAGTTTTAAACATTTTAACATTTATTTATTTTTATCAGATGTTAAAAATGAAATATATAAAAGAATACCAAGATGTAAATGTTGTATCTGTAGATGTAACAGTAAACATGTGTTACACTCTTTTAATGCATCGTTAAAAAAAATTGTGTGATCACCATGCTCCATATGTTACATTAAACGCTTTAAATCTCATCTACTAGGTTGGCTTGAAAATAGACCAGATATATTCGATTTAATGCACCGAAGAGACAGAATGAAGGCCAAATCCAAGCGTACTAAAGGTGAGCTTGACTGGTGAATAGCTAAAGATTTAAAAAATTGTGTTACTAGTCTACGTAGAAAGGATAAAGAACAATTTTAAAAACCATATATATCTGAACATGCATGTGATTCAGGTAAGATATATGTTGGTCTGGGAAATCCCCTCCCTCGTAAAAAAAAAATACATCTAAACGGAGTAATGGAGTTTCACAGAAATAGAGGCCCGAGTCCACCCACCTCAGCTGACCGCGGTTGGAGTTGAGGAATAAAAAAATTATGATTATCGCACCGGAAATGGAGCTCTCAGACTTAAATCTGATTATAAATTACTGCATGTTTTGTTTTTTCTCCATTTTCTTTATATTACTCTCAAAAATTTATGGGGGCCTAGGTCAACTTGGTCCCCCCTTGAATCTACCACTGGGTTCTATAACACCTAAGCCCCACCATGGCAAGGGCTGAGGTAAGAATATTTATGATTATAGCACCTAGATGGCCGGAAATAGCACTCGCAGACATAAACGAGAATAAAGTTAATTCTCGTGTTTGTACGTGGCGCGTTGTTGTCACGCAGGCGGCGGGTAAAACACTCAAATTCCTTTAAAAACTTATAAATGCAGTTAAAAGCTATTTCTTGTAAGACAAATTAGAGGCAG